CGTGCGTGCGTGCGTGTGTATATATATATATAAAACTGGTTATATTAGAATTTTATGATTTTTGAAAATTGAAAAAAGTTTGTAACACTAATAATCTTATTTCTTTGATTTATAAATACAATAATATAAATAATATAATATAATACAATAAAATGATTAGACGATAATTAATTACATGATATAATAATGATTTTATTTATCTTAAGATTATAAAATATTAAAGAAGTAATAAATTAACTTAATATAATAAAGAGCGCCTTAAAGATCGGTCAAAATTGGAAATTTCGAATAATATTCTAGTTCATGAATTTAATTAATCTCAAATGTGACTGTTATATATACTCATGATTGTCCGAACGTTTCGACTCGCGATTATTAACATCTCAGATTGATTATGTTTTAATATCCGAATGTTTCGATGCACAGTCATAACATTTGTGATTAATTAAATTCATGAACTTAGAATATTATATTATTTGAAACTTCCAACTTTGACCGATCCTTTAAGGCATCTTATTATCGCTATCGTTAACTGATGATAGACAATTCTGGAAAAACACATGGCTCATTGTCAATAGTTAACTGACTGTCGATAGCGACAATCGATAAAACGTTTAGAGAATTCCGCAACTGAACGCAAGGATTATCTAGCGATATATTATTATCTTTGATCGACTATAATTCAAAAATTATTGTATTGGGTTGTCCGGAAAGTTCGTGCCGACTAACCTATATAATTTAATAAATGTATACTAAAATTTAAATTTTCTGCGTTTCAATTTTCCTTCAACATCGGCACGAACTTTCCGGACAACCCAATAGTTTCATTTTCATATTACTATTTTTTATATTTTATCTCTAAAATACGCTATAAAAGTGTTGTACGGTGATTGTAAGGCACTCATAATTTAACAAAATAATATATTGACCTTATGGGATATCCATTTGTATCAATATAATTGCTACTAGTTTCCTCATTAATCATAGAATTTGTCATCAAGTGTAATGGTGTCACACTGACATATATTTTTGGCGGGGGCTTCAATGGTAAAAAAGATCCAATTCTCCTTACAATACTTCTTCTTTTACCATAATATTTAATGTCGCCCATCTGTAAGAAAAAAAATTAATGTTCAAAATTTTATAAAAAATTTTTTCAAGATATGTGAAGTTTTCAAGATATGAAGTAAAAATGGTTCGGGGAGAGAGAGAAAGCGAAAGCAAGAGTATATTTATACTCAAAACTTAAAATATTATTGTTAATTTTAATCATAAGCCTGTGATAAAATACATACATGATTTCTGTACACAGAGATATTTATTTTCTAAATTATAATTATATTAATAATATCAAAGTAATTAATTACGTATGTTTATATTTAAAATAAGAAATTAAATCAAGGGCTCGAATAATTAAAATTAAAACAAATAAATAATAAAAGAGCTACGATGCTAGATGTTCGTTGCTACTAGCTGGATATTCGTTGCTAACAATTCAATTTAATGTTTAAAAATTAATAATAAAACAAAACATTTTCGGATCATTCTCAATGTGACAAGAATAATTACAGTGTAATAAAATTAATTGTTTTCGTTTTTTACAATTCTTTCTTATGCATCATGTTGGTCAGTTGGTATTGCATTGTTGTCCATTTTTTTAAAAACTGATAGGTGCTTCCAATGTTTGTAAATACTTATATTCGCTTGCTATTTTCCTCTTGATTATTATTGTACTGATTCGTGAATGTGTAATTTCTAATGGTAATAATAGAGAAAAGTTACAATTTTGAAGCTAGATATAATTAATTAAGAGTCTGTGTGATAATGTCTGTATCTAATAAAATAATGTAACCTAAATAGGAAAATCCGCAAATACATCGTTAATAAGATTTCTTGAAACAGAGCTTTTAAAATTTGGAAAATAGGAGAGGATAACAAATGGGGACCATTAGGATAATGATTGAACTAACGAAAGATATCTATCGGAGAATAATTTCGTGTGACTATGTTTATTTAATCTTGCGTCTGTTTCTTTATAAAGACCAATCTCGATCGGTCTTTAGCAGTTTTATTCTTAATTTTTAAATATTAAATTGAATTATTTTAGCAACGAACATCTAGCTAAGCTCGTAGCCCTTTTATTATTTATTTGTTTTAATTTATATTTAAATTATTTCTTTTAGTATGTGCAAAGAACATGGCCGAATAAGCATATAAAAAATGCTCCCAAACCAAATCCAATTTCGAGTACATCACATTGTTAAACTCGATAAAAGATTATTTTATATAAAATTTTAACCTGTTAAACGCATGATGTGCAAATTCTGACCGAGCAACCTCCTCGTGGTGCACATTGGATAACACAAATGCTGGCGATACTTAACTAAAATCTTGCAAAATAGGATTTACTTTGGAATCTAATAATTCAGCTCCTAAGCAATCTAAAACAATTTTTTTTGCCATTTTAAAGGAAAAGTTCTCGGCTTTAAAACTGATGTGGTGACGTTTTTTGCCTGGAAGGCTGCAATCGTCATGATATTTTCAAGACTCTAATACTCTCTGTTTTTGGTTTTCACGAAAAAAAAAAAAACAGTTTAATGAGACGAAAAATTCACTTAAGTTATTTCAAAGTAGAAGTTTATCCTTTAAAACGCGTCAAGAAAAAATATCCTGTGACTCCTGGAAACCGAGATATTAGTTCTTAAAATCAACAAAATTTGCAGGTTTTAAAATGCTCCTCTAATTTATTTTAAATACATAGCCCACCCCTGAACATACAGATTGATAAAATATTAAACATAGGGAAAATATAGTGCTTATTTTATTAATAAGATCTTGATGAACTATCTTCAATATAGATAGATCTTGTTGGAATCATACAAGAATAGGCATCAGTACAATATATCATTTTTCTAACTTACAATTAAGATCATTATGGTCATTAAGAGTCAATTATGGGTCACAATATACACTCAAAAGGATCAAAAAGATATTTGCATATTTTTATGAATTTTGTTTGCGAAAACTATTAACTTTATTCAAAAATTTTGATCAATATTTTATATAATCAATGATCTATGTGTATATATTAGTAAGTGTTACATAAAACTTTTAATTAAAAAAAATAAATAATTTTGTACAAAAAATTACATTTTTTATATTTACAAGTATGCATTTAAACGCCATTTTGTCAAAATTGAGAATGTAAAATTGGCTCTCTCTCTCTCTCTCTCTCTCTCTCTCTCTCTCTCTCTCTCTCTCTCTCTCTCTCCTCCCTCCCACCCTCCCTCCCTTTCTCCCCCCTCCTCTCTCTCTCTCTACGACAAACATTTAATATATATATTTCAAGAATTTATTGGATTTTTTGTTAAAAATAATCTATATGAAAACTGTAATTATCATAAATTACTATTGTTATTAGTATCAATATAGTTGTGCTGGCGCTATTTGTTAATATTTTTAATTAAAAATGTACAAGGATCGTTCGATAAGTCAAGTAAATTTGCGAGATGGTGCCATAATAAACTGTGTAGTACATGGCCAGAAAGTAACACTATTCAAACTTGTCTCATACTAAGTTTCAGCCAAAAGCAACACTTAATTTACATGTGGACGTTGAAAATGAACATGGCAGCAGTTGTCATAAAAATGGAGAAGATGAATTCCATGCAGTAATTAAACATTTTTATTTAAAGAAGTAGACGGCTGCGCAGATCAGAGTCGAGTTGAACGAAGTTCATGGGGACTTTGCACAGTGTTGTTGATCATTTCTTTTTTTGGATTAATGAATTCAAAAGAGACCGGACATCAACCAAAGATGAAGCCCCGAAAGTCCAGTTGAAGTCACTATGTCAGAAATGATTAAAAAAAATCCATCGTATCGTTATGGAAGATCGCCGAATGAAAGTGCATGACATAGCTAAAAATTGTAGGCATCTCAGTAGATAGAGAGATAATATCTTGTACAAAGAATTAGAAATGAAAAAGCTTTGTGCACGATGGGTATTGCTGTTGCTGACCATCGACCAAAAACGCACGCGAAAAGACATTTCACAGCAGTGTTTGTCGATGCATAAGCGCAATCCACAAGACTTTTGACGTCGATTCGTGACCGTAGACAAGACTTGAATCCAACACTACACATCCGAGTCAAAACAGAAGTCGAAGCAGTGAATAGTGCCTGGTGAATGTGCCCCGAAGAAGGCGAAGACTGTTTTGTCGGCCGGGAAGATAATGGCCACTGTTTGTTGGGCTCCCCAAGGAATCATCTTCGTTGACTACTTACAGAAGAGTCAAACAGTCACAGGAGCATATTATTCTACTTTCGAATCGTTTGTACGAAAAGCTGCGAATGAAACGGCCGAGATTGGCGCGCAAAAAGGTCATCTTTCACCATGACAACGCTCCAGCTTTATAATCGGAATGGCAAAATTGCATGAATTAAGAATTGCTGCTCTATTTACCCTATTCTTCTGATTTGATTCCTTATAACTTTCTATTCTCAAACCTCAAGGAGAAAGAAATTTTCCTAATGAGGAAATTGCTGCTATGGTATTTTGAAGACCTCGAAACTTCCTATTTTTCCGAAAGGATCAAAAAATTGGAATACCGTTGGACTAAGTGTATAAAATTCCAAGGAGACGACGTCGAAAAGTGAAAAAGAATTTTCCGGAAAATAGGTGATTTTATTGCTGACTTATCGAACGACCCTCGTATGTAAATGTTATGTAATTTACTATAAAAAATAAAAAAAAAATTGTAAAAGCTCATTAATTCTTAAGTATCGATAACAAATATTTTTATAGAGTAACTTTCCTAACTTTCTAATTAACATATATCTCTTATGGAAAAAACTCAAATCATTTGAGCGTTTACACTTAATTTAGAGTTATTTCGACCGATGTGAACCTGGCGCTCAATTTTATCAAAAATAAAAATTAATATCACAGGCCGTTTATATTTCGTTTGTACTTGTTTGTACCGATCATTATTTCGTTTGTATCTCAAACAGTTAAATAAAAAATGAAAAATAAAAAATGGCCAGCGCGCAACTTTAAGATTTTTTAATTTCATTTATGCCATTCGAAAGCGAATCGTTAGTACCCGTTTGTACCTCTCCTACTTTCATTTGTATCTCAAAGGGTTCGGAGATACAGCGCGTTTCAGTTTTTACGCAACCCCTATATAGCGAACTTAACCAATTTTCAAAATATTGAAATGGGACCAACGGCATTCGAAAGAAAATCGTTTGTACCTATTTGTACCTCACCTATCGCCGTTGGTTCCATTTCGATATCTTTAAAAATGATCGATTTCCCCTCTTGGCACATTTTCGAAATTTTAAAATCGCTGTATCTCCGAATCTTTTGAGATACAAACGAAAGTAGGAGAAGTACAAACGATTCTCTTTCCAATGCCGTTAGTCCCATTTCGATATTTTGAAAATTGGCTAAATTTGCTATATAGAGGTTGCGCAAAAACTGAAACGCGCTGTATCTCCGAACCCTTCGAGATACAAACGAAAGTAGGAGAGGTACAAACAGGTACAAACGATTCTCTTTCGAATGCCGTTAGTCCCATTTCGATATCTTTAAAATTAGCTAAATTTGCTATATAGAGGTTGCGCAAAAACTGAAACGCGCTGTATCTCCGAACCCTTCGAGATACAAACGAAAGTAGGAGAGGTACAAATAGGTACAAGCGATTCTCTTTCGAATGCCGTTAGTCCCATTTCGATATCTTTAAAATTGGTTAAATTTGCTATATAGGAGTTGCGCAAAAACTGAAACGCGCTGTATCTCCGAACCCTTCGAGATACAAACGAAAGTAGGAGAGACACAAACGGAATACAAAAATTCTCTTTCGAATGGACATAAATTAAATTAAAAAATCTTAAAGTTGCGCGCTGGCCATTCTTTATTTTTCACTTTTTGTTTAACTGTTTGAGGTACAAACGAAATAATGATCGGTACAAACAAGTACAAACGGCTTGCAGTATTAATTTTTATTTTTGATAAAGTTGAGTGCCAGGTTCACATCGGTGTTATTTCGGAACTGCTGAACATTTATCCTCAATTTGAGAGTTAATTCAAGTGTTATTCTTAAAATTGT